GATTGTAGGATTTTTTTTTTTTAGGGGGAGCCCTGGTGCCACAGTGGTTAAGAGCTCAGCTGCTAACCAAAAGGTCAGCAGTTCAAATCCACCAGCCACTCCTTGGAAACACTATGGGGCAGTTCTACTCTGTCCCATAGGGTTACTATAAGTCAGAATTGACTTAACAGCAACAGGTTTATGTCAGTCTTTCATTTATTTTTTAACTTACATAGTTCATTTTTCCAGTTGCCAGGTTTTTTACAATAGTCACAAATACCCACATTTGTGCCATTGGAAGGTTTAGCATTTTTCTTTTGACTGGGATTGTAATTGTTGTAACTGAAGGGCCATTAATTTATCAGCCATAGAAATCCTTTCAGCTTCAAGAGTCTGGGAAAGTCTGTAAGCTAAGTTTGTTAGCGCGACAATAGGAGCTGTCTCCCAGTCTAATTGATGTTACTTTTACTAAGGCTGAGATCTCATGTTTAAGACCAGATATAAAAACAGCATCGAAAGCGCCAGGGTCCCCAAAACCAAACCCTTGCCAATGAAGTTGATTCTGACTCACAGCAACCCTGGAGGACAGAGTAGAACTGCCCCACAGGGTTTCCAAGGAGTGGCTGGTGGATTTAACTGCTGATCTTTCGGTTAGCAGCCAAACTAACTACTGCACCACCAGGGCTCCGCTGCCAGAGGTGCCAGGAGAAGTCAAAGTGAGGCTACCGTGTTCAGAAAACTTCTGGAGCAGCTGAGTCTGATGATCATAAACACTTTCGTCTTTATTTTGTTTACGAGAGTGAATTTTAGATCAATTAGTGGAAGAAAGGCCTTTGGGATAGCCTCTAGTAATGTTTTACTCAGTGCCTAAGAGTCTTCTGACAGCTCAGTGGAAGTTTTGTCAATATTTAAGGCTAAACTGTCCTTGGGGGTCTTTCCACTCTGCCTGTTCTAGCTATAATTGGGCTTCCGGTGGGCCAGTAATCATGTGAAGAAGCTGATATAGGTTAGGGAGCCCATACTGGTAGGCTTCAACAAGGATTTTAAATTCCTCAGAAAATTTGTGGGGGTCTTCATAGAGTTTAGGAAAATCTTTCACAGTGCTACATAATTCTGAGCTTGTCTACAGGGAAAAAGTGATACAAGGGGAATCTTTGGCATCACTGCTGGGGTGAATTTTAAAGGGCATTTCAGACAAGAATTTATCTGCTGGTTTTTTAGGGAAAAAGCAGGTTCAGATAAAGTGTTATCGGAGGAGTAGGAAGGCAAAGAAGAGTATAAAGAGGCAACATCTGGCAGGGGAGCGGAAGAGATGGGGGCTAAAATTTGACACTGTCATTCTTTATTGTGCTTAGTTAATTTAGAGACAGTGTCCTGCAGGGAAGCAATTTTACTGTCTTGATGTCTTTTAGAGGCCTCAATATACCAATCAAAATAGCCATCCACTGGGACTGTTTAATCCAGGAGCCTTAGTCCTCTAATTTACTGCACAGAAAAGTTAATTTAGAGAGATCAAAAGAACCCCAAAGTGGCCACTGATTTTCCAAACTGTCTCAAGTGAGGTTATGAATGCCAGACAGACAAGAACATGCATGATAAAGGACCATAATGCTTTTTCATGTAGTAAGCAGGAGTCCCAGAAGGTGGCTGCAAATCTCATTTAGACACAACATTCCCCATTTTATGACAGTTACGACAAAACAAACTTTTACTTGCAAGAACCAAAACAAATTCACAATAAAACTCAAAGAGCTATCAACACAAGGAGCGGAGCTTGGATTTGAGAGGTTTTTTTTACCTTAAACAATTCCCAAGAATTCACAAAAGTGGAAAGCCCAAAGTGGCTCAGCCTGTGTCCAGATGCCCTGGGGATCATGAAAGATAATGCATTTTCAAAGTTGCATTTCTGACACCAGAAATGTCAAAGAAGAAAATCTCATACTCTGATAGGAGTGAAATAAAAGGAGCTTTGTTGAGGAATAATACAGCTTGAGCTGGGCAGCGCTAAGTAAAAAATACAAAGCTCTCCACCATTCAAGCAGAGAGAGTAGTCTATATACATGGAGAACAAAGGAAAGGGAGGGGGTTAATAATTGATTATAGATAAGATCAGCTTCAGTTTGAAGTCGTTCAAGTGTAAAGGTTGGCCACTTGGCTAGAACAGAGTGAGTTATTTCCACCAGCTGGTTTGATCGCACCTGACTGCAGTCATAAGCTCATTTTTCCCAGGAACAAATTGTTTACATCTTGACACATTCTTCCCATAAACAAATGGTTTACATCGTGACCTTTTGCTTTCTGAGAATGTATATTGGCCCTGTCATTCTTACATCTGATATGAGTGCTCCAGTTTGAAACTTTTTCATTTATACTATATTTTATTTTATACAATGAAGTTTTTCCTTTTTTTATTTTCAGTACATTTTTATCTTTAATGCAGTAAAATGTATTTAGGTATTCTGTGTATAAAGTAGGGATCTAGTCTTATTTCTTACAAATGTAAAGCTTGTTGCTCTGTAACATTATTGAGTAAATAACCCATCCATACCTCATCAAGGAGCCCTGGTAGTGCAATGGTTAAGTGCTCAGCTGCTAACTGAAAGGTCAGGTATTCAAACTCACCAGCTTCTCTGTGGGAGAAAAGACCTGGCAATCTGCTGTCTTAAAGTTTTGCCTAAGAAACCCTACGGGGCAATTCTACTCTGTCCCATAGGGTTGCTATGAGTTGGATTCAACTCCAGGGCACACAACAACATGCCACATTAGTTTGAACTGCCTGCCATCCTCCTGTCATTTTGTAGATGTCCTTTCTAGACAGAGTACCTTAAAACAGGATAAAATTTCCTGTAGCACACACGGGGGGATGGGCAGAGAAAAAAATGAATGCCTCCTGCCCTGCTCCACGTGGAAATGAAATCACAGTTTTCATTGATTGACAATATAGCTCTGAATTCTGGGAGTCTCGCTCACGAATTCTTATATTCTCCTATGTGAATGATGACTCCAAATTTGAATTGTCTGCCAAACTGAAGGAGTAACATGTTTGTTCTTTCACATCTCTCCCCGCACAGGAAATGTCATGACCTTGAAGTTTCTAAGTGATGCTTCAGTGACAGCAGGAGGCTTCCAAATCAAATATGTTGCAGTGGATCCTGTATCCAAATCCAGTCAAGGAAAAAATACAAGTACTGCTCCCACTGGAAATAAAAACTCTTTAGCTGGAAGATTTAGCCATTTGTAAAACAGAAGAACATTCAGAATATACAGTGTTCATATTTGCATCCTTTAGAACTCCTTTGATCTCACTTTTATATTGTTATTAACATTTATTTATTATTTTTTTTAAATGTGAAAGCAAAACCTGATGATTTTGGTAAATACAGAAAAATTCAAATGAGAAATAGTCTCTTGTAACCTCACTGCATAAAAGTAACAATCATTAATATTTTTATGAATTTTCTTTTAGTCATTTTTCTATTTGTGGTATATGTATATATGTATATATGTATCTATATGGATTTGTACTTGAAATTTTGCTCTAGGTACAGTTTTACAGTCTGGTTTTTCTGCCCTTGAACTTTATAGCATAAGTATTTTTCCATATTGTTGAATATTCACAAAAACATGATTTTGAACACCTGTATAATATTCCATTCTATGATTGTTCCATACTTTATTTAAGCCTTTCTATGTGGTTGGAATTTTAGGTTGTTTTCATAAATATTGCTACAATATACATCTTAGAGCATACATATTTTTGCAGCTCTCTAATTATTTGGGATAGTGTCCTAGAAGCAGAATTACTGAATCAGAGGTTTATTAAAATAGAATTTCCCTTTTTGTTAGGCAAAATTGACATTTCATTGTGGTTTAAATTTGCACTTTATTAGTGACATTGATCATTGGTTTATATATTTTTGACTAATTGTATTTCTTTTGTGAATTTTGTTCATGTCTTTCACTCATTTGTTTTACTAATATAATCTTTTCTCTTATTGATATTTAAGAAATTATTATATATTAAATAATAATTCCACATCTATCACATATGTTGTAATTTCATTTTAAGTTTATATTTGCCTTTAATTTTTATGGCATTTTTAAAAATGTACTAAAGGTTAAAATATATCTGCTGTCATACTTATTGATTTTGTTGTTTTTATGTTTAGGGTGACTATTCCTATTACAAGATTTGCTATTTATTCATTTACATTTTATTCTTGCTTAACAGCTTTACTTTTTTAGGGGGAAAAAGCTCTGTATATGAAGAGCAGTTGTCATCATCTAATTAAATTCAATAAAAATATATATACCAGGCACTGTTCTAGGCACTTGGGAAATACCAGTGAATCAAATGAACAGAGATCCCTATGATTGAGAATCTTACATTCTAATGGGGGTACACAAACAATAATTAATAAGTATGATAAATTAATAAACTACATGTTAGAAATAGGTTAGAAAGAGTTGCATGTTAAATTACTAATGGAATGAGTGCAGATAAAAGAAAGACTAAGGACTGTGCCCAGGAAGAAGAAGCACCAGCAGAGTAGACTGAGAAGGACCAAGGGGTGAACTGGGAGGAAAATCACTTGGGGTCCTGGAAGCCAAGTGGAAAACATACACAGGAGGAATAAGCAATCAACTGTATTAAATACTTCCAGTATCTCTAAGACATGACTCCTGAGAATGATCATGGGGTTTAGCAACATGAAGATCATCAGTGACCTTGACGAGCAGTTCCAGCGGAGTGAAGGGGACAAAGTCTCAACTGGAGTGTGTTTAAGAGTGGACTAGAGAAGAGGAATTGAGTGCAAGTATGGCTGTCAAGGAAGTGGTAGCTGTCGGGGAAGTGGGTTGAAAGAAGGTTTTCTTTTAAAAATTGGTTGATTTGTTCTGATTGTTCTGATGAAAGTGAGCTTAGAGGGGGAAAGGACAGTTGCTGGGGCCATTTCCTTGAGTCTTTGTGGTAGTCAGGGTCCCACAGGAAGCAGATGGTACACCCAACAGAGGGAGACTGAAGAGGTTATCTGCAGAGATGTGGGCTGCCTTAAGGGAAGTTCATAAGGGAGGTGAATCCCTGGTGCTTACAACAGCAGGAAGGTCACCTGAAGGGGCAAAAGCAAGGGCAGTTATCTGAAGCTAGAGAAGTAGGAGAGAGTTGTCCAACCAAAGTTGGAACAAAGCTTCTGCGAACCCAAGGCTGTAGGGGAGGATTGCGAGTAAATATCTCAACTTCTCCCTCTTCTCACCCTTTTCTGTCCTGCTAGTGCCTCCCATTGTCTGACCCCAAGCTGAAGTCCCAGTACCAGGAAACCTGGTTGATGCTGTGCACAGAGCTCAGCTCCAGGGCCCACAGCAGGGAGAAGAAGATAGAGAATAGATGGGAGGGGCAAAAGGAGGACATCCAACACAGTGGGTGAGGGGGGATCTAGTGCACAAATAGAGAGACTGACTTTAGATAGGGGCATGGACAGTACATCTACAAGAGGGGTCCTTAACCCTTTTATGCCATGAATTCTTTGATACATGAAACCTATGGATACTTCTTGGAATAATGTTTTTAAATGCTTAAAATACATAGAAGTACAAAGAAAATAAATTACACTGAAACACAATTATCATTTGTAAAATCAAATGTGTGATGTATTAATACATATGCTTCTTTAATAATGTTATAAATAACGGCAATGAGTCTAATAACTACTGTAATTTCAAAGTAGTGATACAGGTATACAATATTCTGAGATATCTACAAAAGCTGTTTCATGATATAAAAATATCTATGATGTATATTGGTGACAAAAGCATAAGTACTGCTAATTCTACTGTGGCTTATTACCTACATTCATGGTGAAGGAAATGCTAGATTTCAATGAAAAGTCATTCAAAATAAAGATGTATTGCCCCATGTGAGATCCCTGATCCCCTGGATTCGGTCCACAGACTCCTTAGGAGGAAGGGAGATTGTGAGGACAAAGATAGTGACAGGAGGGCTTTCTCTTGCTTATCTTGCATTTCTCAGTGAAGAAAGAATCAAGTCATAATCCAAAAATGAACACAGAGAAGTCGATGTAAAAGGTTGGAGAAGAGAGGAGAAGGCATGAAATAGTCTTCTCAGAGTGTGGAAAAGGGAATGGACTAGGAAAATAGCATGTGATTATCAAGTAGCATTAAGAGACCATTCGAAATCCACGGTCATGGACTGTAACAGGAGACCAGTCAGTGAGGCTGTGCTTTTCTCCAGCCATGTGCAGCTGCATGAGGGTAGAGACATTAGGTAGAAAGTTGAGTTAACAAGGAAATTAACCAGGGAATTAACTTATTTGTTAAGTGAGTGTGACAAGAGAGGGGCAAGGGAGTAGAAGGTATATGTAATGGAGGGATTGCAACAGTAATGATCACTCATGTAATTTAGTCTGATAAGAAGGGATGGATGGACATTGAAGTAATGAGGGACAGTGAAAAGGTGGTAGACTGAAAGCTGTGAAGATCCCACGGGACTCAAAAGATTATGGAATCAGAGTGTTAGAGGAAACGTACTGAAGAGATAGGAGGTAGTGACCTGAGAATGGGATTTTAAATAGAACCTTCTCTGGTAGGCAGAATAATGCACCCCCTGTCCCAAAGATGTTCCAATCCTAATCCCTAGAATCTGTGAATAAGTTACCTTACATGGCAAAAGGGACTTTGTAGATGTGATTAAGTTAAGGACCTTGAGATAGCGGGATTATTTTGGATTATCCAGGTGGGCCCAATGCAGTCACACAATCGTCCTTAAAAATAGGTGAGGGAGATAGAAGAATCAGAGAAAGATGTGGAGATGGAAGTAGATTCAAAGAAAAGCTATCTTTTTGGCTTTGAAGATGGAGAAAGGGGGCGATGAGTCAAGGAATATGAGCAGTCTCTAGAAGCTGGTAAAGGCAAGGAAACAGATCTTCCCTGGAGCATCCAGAAGGAATCCAGCCCAGCTGACACCTTGACTTTAGCCTGGTGAGGCCTATGTTAGTCTTCTGACCTCCAGAACTGTAAGGTAATAAATTTGTGTTGTTTTAAACCACTAAGTGTATGGTAATTTTTTATAGCAGTGATAGAAAGTTAATACACCTTTTAATCAGTTTTATGCAGATTCAGACTTTGAAGAATTAAAGTGTAATTCTAGATGACAAAGCATTAGTGAGAAGAAGCAGTAAACAGAAGATATTTATTTTTCTAAACTCAGAGAAATTAACTTACCAGAATACTATTTAAGGTCAATAAAATATTTTTTCTTTTATACATTTTCCCACCTGTATCTAATACTCCTTCATTTCTTTGCTCATGAATTTTGTTTCACTCTTTTTCTCACCTTCATAGGCTTTTTAGTCTGTATCAGAATCCCTATTTTTTTTTTTTTTGGTCCTGTTGAAAGTCTTGACAATGAGATTTAAATAAGAAAGTGGAGAATGTGAGTAAATTTGAAAACATCATGTATTCTAGGATTATAAGGTACAATTGAGGCTCATTATTCACAGATTCCATATTTGTGAATTTTCCTACTTGGTAAAATTTATTTGTAACCCCAAAACCAATACTCATGGCCCTTTTGCAGTCGTTCACAAACATGAGCGTGCACAGAGTGGCAAAAAGTTTGACTTGCTCAACACGCACATTCCTAGCTGAGATCAAACAAGGCTCATTCAACATTTACTAATTCAGTGTTCAATTAATTCAAGAACATAACTACCAAGAATAACAAGAATTGACTTATTATTAATATTGTTGTTGTTGATGATGATGATGAATAGAAATCTAAGATTTTCCTGAGAATCATATTCAGATGTGTGAAATCTTTAGAATAATATTACAAAAAAAAAAAAAAAAACCATTGCCATCAAGTCAATTCTGACTCATAGCAACCCTACAGGACAGAGTAGAACTGCCCCATAGAGTTTCCAAGGAGCGCCTGGTGGATTTGAACAGCCGACCTTTTGTTTAGCAGCCGTAGCTCTTAATCACTATGCCGCCAGGGTTTCCAGAATGATATTAAATGGCATCTATTATCACTGACCTAGCTTCCCCTATATCTTAATAGTATAGTTAGAGCAGCATACATAGGGTTAGAGATGGGTTATAATGACTTCTAGATATTTGGCTGAATTGTTTCAGACATTCACAGCAGGGCAGCAGGTACATGACAATTATATCCTAAGATTTATAGAAATAGTTGGAAAGGAAGGGTTATAATATTTACTGATTTTTTTTAGTAAATTTATTAAATTAAACCTTATATAACATTTTTTAAAACTTGATTTTCTTTATTTAATTTAGCACCCTCCTACATGTACACTTTGTTGTTCTTTGTGTCCCAGTAATTCTACTTTATTTGAATGTTTTTAATACCTGCTCAGATTTATTTAGAAAATTTTCTCTATTTCTTCTTTTTCTTTATCATGTTTATATGCAGGCTTGGAAGGTTGTTCTTTTTTTTAAACTAATGCTTATTTTCGATTTATTATGATCTTTATATCAACATCATTCTCTGAAAATAAAACAAATATACTGATGTTGATATATGTGGATATTCAGTATTTTATTTAAAATGATGTTCAAGTTCAGATTTTTGAAAGAACATACTTTGAAAGGGAAGTTTTTAAAGAATATGCTTTACACTGCTTCCCCCTTGAAAAAAGTTGATCTTTCTGTTTCTTGTTGCTCTTTAGATTTCTAAAATATATCCACAGCTGCTTTGTTTCCTTCTCAACAAATGCCCACAAAGAAAACCACTAGAAGAAATCAGATATCACACAGAGTAAATATAGAAAAAGTAAACTCCACAGAAGCTCTTGGACCTCCACAGGAAGAGCCACATCCTTAACACTATTTGTAAAATACAAAAACAAATCATTTTTGAACAACTTATTTGACTTTCAAACAACTATAAATAAGACCATTCTTTGCTTAATCATTAATAACCTCACAATGATTTTCATGATGCTAAAGAAAAAGTTTCATGGTATTAAATTGAATCAAGATGTTCATTTTTTTTTAAAAAAAGTGTGCAATACAATACACATAAATTAATTTTCACATTGCTTTCTGAAATTCTACCCCTGCTACAGTGAATGGGGATTATTTGCAAACCAAAAAAAAAAACTTAAAATG